CGACAATTAATTGAGAGAATTCGGCATAAAAAATGTCAAACCCGGACACTTTAACTATAAAATATACATGCTCCAAGTCAGGAACCGTTACATAAGTGGATTTCACAATTATTTTCTGTTTTTTTTAGCAAAAAAAAAGGTCCAAAACATTTTACACCGAGCGGAGCGAGGCGAAATTAAGATTTGATTCTACGTCCCCTCTTTCAAATATCCTAGAAACGCCCCTGATACGCTAACACTTAGTAAGTCATATTAGCCATCACACACAATAAACTGTATGGCAAAACCACTACGTGTACATGTACAATGTGTCAGATATGGAAAGTATTCAGATACTTGATAATTATATTTTTTCAATACTTTACAGAGATTAAAGCACACTTGTAAATGGACCTTTTTTATGTTGAGACAACTTTTTTTTAATCAGTTCCTTTTGTCTGAAACAGAAGCCGTAGTTATTGGCAGCACGCGCCATTTTTACAACGTAATAAAATATTTCCCCCCCTGTTTTCAATACGTATTCCGATTCTACCTGAAGTCGAAAATTAATTCTTTATAGAGAAAAGGTTGTTACATGATCACACATTCTAAGTCAACATCATATGAAAACATGAACTGTTGAAAAATTATGATTTAAAAAAAAAAAATACGCGATCCTATTTACTAGAAGTAGGTTCTCCCTCCTCAGTTATTCATCCTGGCCCGTCATTTTGACATTTTTAATCTATCTGCGATAACGTAGTTTTGTAACGAAGAGCTGATTTTTTTTTAATATATATTGCGTCGTCGCGCCATAGGAGGCCGGTATTCATATTAGTACCAATTTAAATCTTGCATGTAAAAACCAAAAAAATCGTTTAATTCAGCAATATAATTAAATCTCCCATTTTACTGATCCCGGTAATATTATGAATTATGTAAATCTAATAGCGCACGTATCTCATTTGACCCCGAGTTCCGACAGAGGACAGAACAGAATACGCCGTGGCCATAACAACAGTTATCCCTTGGAGGGCCTCATGGCAAAATCAAACTAACCAGTCACTTATCTCTTCCTTTCGCATAAACCACTAAATTATAGAAACACAAAGTAAACTCTCTCCGATAAATGCCCATTAACATATTAAACTAAGTTCATCTGTGTTCAAACTCACACAATGATACTACTACCACGGAATTAGATTTAGATATCTAAGTCCATGCTACTACTAGCGAGGTAAATAGTTTTAGATATTAATTCGTAACATAAACAGCGCTAGCATTTCTGTCGATTTCATTTCAGCTTAACCGGCAATCCGGAAGAATACATGCACCGTACTAGCTGCTAGGGCAGATATTTTCTGCTTTGAATACTTCCCACTGGCAATAATGATTCCGTAACGTACCACTTACACGGCCAGTCATTTTGTTTACAAAGAAATGGTGTGCTATGCGCATGCGCTAGTAGAGGGAAATCCCTTAACAAAACGTTGGTCAGACAGGTAGAAATACCGATGATTATCTTAGATTTAATCATTTTTATGAATCTATTTCAGCAAAATCCGATCGTTATTTTCCACAAGGAGGCTCACTTGATATGTTTATGTAGTATTTGAAAAAAAGACACAAAAAAAAGTTACTTCAGCGTGATGCACCTTTAAAAGATTTTAACAAATTTGATCCCTGTGACCTTGAATATGAGCAAAGGTCATTCATTTGAACAAACTTGTTAGCCCTTCATCCCAGCATGTTACTGGCCAAATATCATCATCCAAGGCCTTTTGGTTATTGAGAGAAGTTGTTTAAAGGTTTTAAACATTTGACCCCTGTGACCTTGAAAATAGATGAAGGTAATTCATTTGAATAAACTTGATAGGCCTTCATCCAAGCATGTTACTTGTCAAATATCATTAGCCTATGCCTCATGTATATTCAGGAGAAGTTGTCTAAAGGTTTTAAACATATTTGACCCTTGTGGCCTTGAAAATAGATGAAGGTCATTTGTTTGATCAAACTTGGTAGCCCTTCATCCCACCATGTTACTGGCCAAATATCATCCAAGGCCTTTTGGTTATTGAAAAGAAGTTTTTAAAAGATGTTTAACATATTTAACCCCTGTGACCTTGAAAATAGATGACGGTCATTTGTTTGAACAAACTTGGTAGCCCTTTACCCCAGGATGTTACTGGCCAAATATCATTATCCTAGGCTTCTTGGTTATTGGGGAGAAGTTGTTTAAAGGTTTTAAACATATTTGACCCCTGTGACTTTGAAAATAAGTCAAGGTCATTCATTTGAACAAACTCTGTAGCCCTCTATTACAGCATGCTACTGGTCAAATAGCATCATCTTAGGCCTCTTGGGTATTGAGTAGAAGTTGTTTAAAGATGTTTAACATATTTAACCCCTGTGACCTTGAATATAAATAAAGGTGATTTGTTTGAACAAACTTGGTAGCCCTTTATCCCAGCATGTTTCTGGCCAAATATCATTATCCTAGGCTTCTTGGTTATTGGGAAGAAGTTGTTTAAAGGTTTTAAACATATTTGACGCCTGTGACCTTGAATATAGGTAAAGGTCATTCATTTTAACAAAACTTAGTAGCCCTTTATGCTAGCATGTTACTGGATAAATATCATTATCCTTTGCCTCTAAGTTATTCAGAAGTTGTTGAAAGATTTTTTAAGACAACTGACCCCTGTGACCTTGAAAATGGGTGAAGGTCATTTATTTCAACAAACTTGGTAGCCCTTCATCCCACCATGTCACTGGCCAAATATCGTCATCCAAGGCCTTTTGGATATTGAAAAGAAGTTTTTAAAAGATGTTTGACATATCTGACCGATGTGACCTTGAAAATAGGTGAAGGTCATCTATTTGAACAAACTTGGTAGCCCTTCATCCCAGTTTGCTTCTGGCCAAATATTATCACCCTAGGCCTTTCGGTTATTTAGAAGAAGTCGTTTAAAGTAAAATATTGACATGGGACAGACGCCGCACCATGGCATAAGCTCACTTGGTACTTCGTGCCAGTTGAGCTAAAAATAACTTTGTTTCTGAGTTAGGCACAATAGTAAATAGCACGTAGTGACATGTACTCTTTACTGAGTAAATAACTGTGATTCTGTTTTTTTTTTTTTTATAAAGAATTATGTATTCATGAGTGAATTAAATATGAATATTATAACACATGATTATGGAATATGATGTAAACATAACAAAGTATCAAGATATCTAGATGGCTTAATTTAAAACAAAACATCGTTCTGTTGGTGAAAGAACACCATACTTTCGTTTTTAACCGTTTGTGTATTTTGCAGATTTTAATGTAAAACGAAACAAGTTGCTTGTACCAAATTCATTATATCTATAGTCTGTACTGAAGTAGCAAATTATGATTACATTTTAAAATACATTTATGAGTTGTTACAGAGAGGTAAAATCGTTTTCAAATTGACATTTTTTTCCATATCCAATCTTTCTGTCAAGGTCAGTTCCTTCATATTGCCATTCTGAAATTTGTATCAACCAATAGTGTCAACAAAGCAAGACTTTTATCCATATAAGAATTCCACGGAAGTGGATGTGTCGCCTACGCAGGAATTTGGCAGATTGTGCTTAGCACTGCATGAAGTTTGATTTTGATCGGCCCAAGGAAACAAGTTATCGCACGAAAACAGATTTTCTATTTATAGTAACAGTGACCTTGACCTTTGGACCTGAAAAGCAATCTTAAGCAAGCACTTCTGGTAAGGAAACACTGCAAGAAGTTTGAGTTTGATCGGCCTAAGTTAACTTAAGTTATCGCACGAAAACAGATTTTGACCTTTGACCTTCGGACCTAAAAGCAATCGCAAGCAAGCACTTTTAGTAAGGAAGCACTGCATGAAGTTTGAGTTTGATCGGCCCAAGGAAGCTTAAGTTATCGCACAAAAACAGATTTTCTATTTATAGTAACAGTGACCTTGACCTTTGACTTTGGACCTGAAAAGCAATCCCAAGCAAGCACTTCAGCACTGCATGGAGTTTGAGTTTGATGGGCCCAAGGAAACTCAAGTTATCGCAAGAAAACCTCTGTGCGGCCGACATAGCAATACCAATGTGTCACCAGCTTTTCGCAGGCGACACAAAAATCATGTTTCTTGCTCATAATGCTTGCAGCCTGCATACAGATAAGTTGTTGTGTTGTTTTTGTATTATTAAGACAATGGTTTTGTGTTATTTCAGCCTTGTATACTCAAATTTCTTATAGTACGGTATATATTCAAATCATGTAATGGCGCTAGCCAAACACCAGGGAGCCTGGTCGTCGTGCTATTTTGTTTACACCTCTGAATGTTGGTATTGTGTCTTAAAGAGCACTGATTGACTTATCAATAAAAAAAATTATAAAAATGGTGTTTGATAAAATTGAATTATCGAGACAAATTGATGATAGAAAACAAGTCAAGAAAAACAACAGCACCATCAACTTTTGGTGACTGTTATAAAATATTCTGTCTGTTAGTTGTTATTTTTTACAACATAAACAACTACAGTGGATAATTACATGATATTTAGTGTGGTCATAGATCAAAACAGTGGTATATATCCAAGATGGCAGACATTTGTGAACAGGGAGTTGCTCCCAATTAAGCCCCCTCCCAACTTTTGGCCCCTTTTTCTCAGAAGGGGGATGGGGGGCTTATTTGCGGTACGGTAACAGTTATAGATGCGAGTAGATAGGTAGTGTCCAGATTCTAAACATGCTTAAGATCTGTTTGTACAATCACCCTTTTCTATGCGTTTTTGTCGTAGTCTTGCAGTTCCTATCAAGTAGCCAACACCATTAGCCATCATTCCCGTGTTGTTGCTGTATAGCACAGGTACAGCTGTATCTTGTAGGTATTTCCACATATCCTCAACCTTCTTTACCTGTAAATTGTAAAATCATTTGTCAATGTTACACCTACGTTCAGGAGGTACATGTACAGACGTATGAACTGATATCAGTCCAGGAGGCACGTGTGTACATGTATATTGGTATTGTAATTATGTATGTACTGACCTCAGTCAGAGGGTCAAGAAAGTACTGACCTCAGTTATGTTGTCACATGCGTATATGGACATCAGTTAAGGAGTAATATATATATTACTGACCTCTGAAAGGGTGACTTGTGTGTATGCTCCATGCACAAACATGTCTTCTGTAGTCTTAGTGGCACCGTAGTTGGTGGTCACATCCTGATGGCCATGCACCATGAACAGCACGATAGCCACAAAGGTAAAATACATGATCATCTCCCTAAGGATGGTAGTGATGTGCTTCTCCAGTCGGAGCCTCTCCCTGATGGCTTGTAATGTCTTTCTAGGCATGGCCACGCGCACTGCCTGTTTCACTGGTGCTATGGAGGCCAGCGTTATCCCCTGCCTCTTCAACAGTTCCGTTTGGCAATAATCCTCATCATGGTCTGAAATATGGTTATATTAATGTCATGTTTTTACTTCACTGTTCCTAAATTTTTAAATTCATTAAAACCGATCTCATATTATTTGTTCATTGTTTTCATTTCGTAGAAAACCAGGTCGGAAACAAAAGGATGAGCATGTCTATTACATATCTGGATCAATAGGAATGTCCAGTTGGGATAAGATAATACATTTACTCATCTAAGATGGTGCAATGCACACACTTACAGTTTATCACACGTGAACATATTCATATTCCCCAATGTAAAAATAACATTTTAATATATCAAACCAAAACTGATATTAATATACAATATATGCATATTTTGAACCAATATGTCGTGATTTCTGAATTTCAGATGGTGACACTGTAAATATGAACAGGAAACTTAATAGTCAAACGGAACAACACATTACACAATACCAGGCTGTTCAAAGGTTCAATTAGTTTTATTGTTTTACTTGATTGTGTGATTTCTTCATAGCTAGGTCTTTTTAAAATACATTTGTATGAAAATCTTGTATTACCAAATTGGCAGAAACAATTGTTGTCCTGGTGAAGATATTTTTGAACCTTCATACTACTGAACTTTTGAAGATACTGATTACTATGGGATCACCTGACATAAGGTAGAACTTATAAGAAATCTTGGTGCCCACCATTTTAATTAGTTTTATGCAAGATGTTTTTTAGATGTGATAATATCAAGGAACCATTTGTGCCTTGTGCAATCTTGGATGCAAGTTACTGTGTATGCCTATCAACTTATCCCAAGTGAATATTATTCATAACAAGAGGCCCATGGGCCTTAACGGCTACCTGAGTTCTACAGTATTAATTTTCGTTGTTGAAATATGAAGTGGAGATAATGATGTCAATCATTCCTACCAAAATTTGAGTAAAAAAGGTTAAGTATAACTTTAAGTAAGTTTGCCAGGACCACGGGTTGATCATTCCTACCAAGTTTCAGTTAAATTGGCCCAGTAGAACTTGACTTTAAGTTTGAAATAGTTTTTCAAAATGGTGGTCATATTGGATTTCTGATCGACCCAAAAAATAACATTTTGTCAGGACCAAAAGTTGATCATTCCTACCAAGTTTCAGTTAGATTGGCCCAGTAGAACTTGACTTTAAGTTTGAAATAGTTTTTTAAAATGTATTTAAAAACATACTAAGCTTCATGTTGTCCCTCTGGGTAAGAACTTCGAATTCAACGGGTTTCTTAAATATGAAGGTGATGAGCACTGCAAACATAAACACTTTGAGAGGCTGGGTGACCAAAGCACTCTGGAAGAATGCGGTAAAGAATGACACAAGCCATTCAATGGACTTCTGGTAGCCGTACATCAGACCATACATGACAAAGTAGGAAGAAATCAAGGCGGCAGACAGAACCAATGTCCACGCAATATATACCACCCACCAGGGAAACCTACAATATTAAAATGATAAAAACAGTTATATAATAAATATTGAATGTTTATATGATTGATTGCTATATCAAAGTCTTAAAACAAATTATTTCTCCATGCCATCTCTTTTCGTTAAGTCTTCTACTCTATACCACCTTTTTGTCCTAATACTATTTTACTCCATTCCATCTCTCCTGCTCGTTACTTCTTTTGTTCCTTACCACCCCTTTTCCTAATACCACTTAACATCATTCTATCTGTTCCTTGTTACCTATTCTACTCCATATTATCTCTTCTCCTCGCTACCTTATTTTACTCCACATGCCGTTCATCACCTCTCCCCATACAACTCTCCGTATATACCTTCTTCTACGGCACACCTTTCTCTCCTCTTCACCACCTCTTCCCCATCATACCATCTTAATAACCTGTTCTCCTTCACATCGGATCTTGTCTCCCCATACCAAATTTTATTCGACCCTTCATACTTGATACCACCACTTCCCGTATAATTTTTCCCATTCCAACGCCTTTCTTCCATATAACTTTTGTCTTCACAATTTAGTCTTTTCCTACCACCTCTTTTCCTTCATGCATCTTCTTTCCCTTGAATCACCTCATCTCCTTTTACCACCTCTTTTCAATCATTTAATTATTTTGTCTCCCTGACCAAATTTCCCTCCCACACCACTTCTCCATACCACATCATCACCTTTAAACTGATATTCGTCCGTACACCATTCTTTATCTCACCTTGGGGGACACAATTTTCATGGAGTTTGATTGAGTACATAATTACCGGAAGGGCTTTTTCTGCTCGGTTTTGCTGCTCCCTTTCAATACATTTCCCCCCATTTTGGATTTGCCTTTGCTCTCACTGGTTTGAAGTCCAAAGGACTTGTCCTCTTCCTCGGGGCAGTCAGCCAGAGAACGTTTCCCTCTAACTAGAGCCGAAGGTCTAGGTTCTAGTTTAGTGAACAACTGCATGATGATAATGTTAATGGGGAACATGATGAGACCACTCTCTATTCCAATGATGATGTCAGACAGAGACAGTGTGATGCCGCCAGAACTCAACTGGTCAGCTGGATCGTCTGTTGGTATCCCATGGAACATGAGACTGGTCAACATGGTCATCAGGAGAAGGGACAGTGCACAGGACAGGCGTTGTACACGGGTAAAGGGGCTGGTCAAAAACAAATTAACATATGTAATAAAGATAATAGAACATGCATTGTAGAGGTTAAAGTGGCAGGTCGAAAAATGTCACAATGAATAATGTATAGTTATGTTAAATAAGACATGTTGTATGTATGCTAATTTGGAGACAATTCAAAACACCTTAAAACAAGTTATTTGGAAATTATATGTTGGTCAGGTGCAAACCTGGGCAACAGAAGTCAAAAAGACGATCTCTTTAACGATTAGGATACTGAAATAGTTGATCAAAGGTTAAGGTATAGTAAAAAAATAATATCCAAAGATAATAGGATAATAAGGCAGGCATTGTATACTGATAAAAGGGAGAACCCAACAGAGCATAAGTTTAGGATAATAGATAAACACCAATGTAAAGATGGAATAGGTGAAAAAGAAATACTCTCCCAAGCGTCCAATGAGTGGGTACAGAAGTAAAACCCCGACTCTGAAGACGTCCAATATTCGGTCACTATGATAATGAGATACAGCAGGTTGGTTATCATCTCCTATATGGGACATACCTTTGATACAGCAGGTTGGTTATCATCTCCTATATGGGACATACCTTTGATACAGCATGTTGGTTATCATCTCCTATATGAGACATACCTTCGATACAGCAGGTTGGTTATCATCTCCTATATGGGTCATACCTTCGATACAGCAGGTTGGTTATCATCTCCTATATGGGACATATACCTTCGATACAGCAGGTTGGGACATACCTTCAATACAGCAGGTTAGTTATCATCTCCTATATGGGACATACCTTTGATACAGCATGTTGGTTATCATCTCCTATATGGGACATACCTTCGATACAGCAGGTTGGCTATCATCTCCTATATGGAACATACCTTCAATACAGCAGGTTGGTTATCATCTCCTATATTGGTCATACCTTCGATACAGCAGGTTGGTTATCATCTCCTATATGGGACATACCTTCGATACAGCATGTTGGGACATACCTTCGATACAGCAGCTTAGTTATCATCTCCTATATGGGACATACCTTCGATAAGGGATACTGCATTATATATTTTACCTGTCATTATGTTTCCTGCTAAACTTATGAAATTGGTTAAGGACCATATTATGAAACCATGAGATTTCTACAACATAAACTGGTGTGATTCCGTTGGAAAACCGTACCTGTATTTTATATCATATATAAGAACGCATCTACCAGGAAAATCTTGATACTAGAACAAGATCGAGGCCCAGTTGGCCTGTATCGCTCAGCTGGATGATAAAGCAACCATGGGAAATTATTACATAAAATCCCTCAAATGGTACAGAGAAAGAAGGATTTTGAAGACTTAAACCTCAAGTTCCCCAATTTGGCCCCGCAACTCTGCACCCAGAGGGGCTACGACCTCCATTTATACAAAATTTAGTTGCCTTTGCCAAAGAATGCTCCAGGCCTAATTTGGATAAAATCCCTCCAATGGTACAGAAGGAAAAGGATTTTAAAGATTTAAACCTAAAACTCCCCTATTGAGCCCTGCCCCTAAAGGGGCCACAACCACTGTTTATACAAAATTGAGTCCCCTTGGCCCAAGGCTGCTCAAGACCAAATCAGGATAAAATCCCTTTATCCCTACTGTAGAAGAAGCATTTTAAAGATTTACCACTATTTCCCTTATTCTGACCCACCCCTCTGACCCAGGGGGCCCACAACCACAATCTATACAAATTTCAGTCCCCTTTGACCAATGATGCTCTAGACTAAATTAGGATAATATTCCTTAAAGATTTTACCTCTATTTCTCCTATTGGGTCCCGCCCCACTGCCACCAGGGGGGCTACACCAACCGTTTATACAAAATTGAGTCCCCTTGCAAGAAGGATGCTCTAGAAATAATTGGGATAAAATCCCTTCATCTGTATGCATGGTAGAAAGGATTTCAAAGCTTTTACCTCTATTTCCCCTATTTGACCCCGCCCCTCTGCCCCCAGGAGGATCACAGCCACTTTTTATACAAAAGTAAATGCCCTTGGCCTAAGGTTGCTCCAGACCAAATTAAGTCAAAATCTACTAGGCCTTTCAGGACAAGTAGTGTTTTAAACGAAAAGTTGGCGGACAGACGACGGATGCCGCACCATGGGATAAGCTCACCGGTCCTTCGGGCCAGGTGAGCTAAAAATCAACTGTGACATGAAAACCCCATAAACACGGAGGATTATGTTACTACTTAGGAAATTACAGGTAGGTTTTACTGTTGAGGAAATGGGTGGCTAGTATATTACAAGAGGCCCAGAGGGCCTGTATCGCTCACCTGTTTATTTTGTTACATGCAACTGACATATAGGTAACTTAAGACCAATTTTAGTAACTAGAACACAAGACATTTTAACATCTCTTAAACAGTTCTAAAGATATTGTTGTTTTAATTTTAAAGCTTTTAACCCATATTGACCTTTGACTCCCGATTTCCACTTGCAGTTGACCTTTGACCTCATTACTGTAATTAAGGAAACAATTCACACAGCTGGTCTACATAACATACCCGAGTATCATGACTCTAGTCCAAATCGTTCTTAGGATATTGTTGTGTGAAGTTTTTAACATAATTGACCCCTGTGACCTTGAAAGTAGGTCAAGGGAATTTTAATGAGGAAACTTTATAACACTTTATCCCAGGTACCTACTGGCCAACTATCATGACCCTAAAAGTCTTATGGAATTTGACATTTGACCCATGACTAGCATTTAATTTTGACCTTTGACCTCATTACTGTAATTGAGAAAAATATTCGCACTGCTGGTCTTACATAACATGCCCAAGTATATAGATGTTTTGTTGAAATAGTCTTTAAGCAAACTGAACAACCATGATAACAAGAGCTCAATAGGGTCTGTTAGTTACACCTCATAGGGCTACTCTTCCTTTTTACATCAATTGATTTCAAGGTCCCAGAGAATAATCTTGCTGCATAGCAAATTGGGTTGAGATCTGCATATGCCTATGTGTTTATAGGGTGGAGTGACTTAGTCCAGAAGGGGACAGGGACCGACCTATGGCTTTATTCTGGTAGCATAAATGTGCTTATTTCTTCATGCCCTGCAAGCAGCTGTATAAATCAGTTAGATGTTATGACCATGGTACTAAGTCATCAATTTTTTCACAAAGCTGAATCCTTTGGACAGTCATGATAACACGAGTTGCATCAATTGTCATGTCTAGCAATTGTACAAATATGGCTAAAGAGTGGGGATCTCAACCATCTCCATGTTATGACAGGGACTGAGTTCTCATCTACAGGCAGGACCCTAATGGAATCAATTGGCAGTGTATAGGAGTAATCGTTTCTTCAAATCAAGAAAATGCAGGCCAGTATATGCTTAATTCCCTTTAGCTAATCCTGGTAGCAGGAGTGTGTTAATATTGTAATGCTTTAGCAGTTGTATGAGTGGCAATGTTAGAGTCTCAACCATTTCCATATTAGGCCACAGAGACCACGTCTAAAGGAGCAGAGCAGGACCCCAAACATATCCTTGCAAATGACTGTATGCACTTCTTCCTGCATAGGAAGATCATTGCAATTTAGCACGAATATCAACTACTTCCCTGTCGTGACAAAGGGGATAATTCCAAATTTCATGATTGCATCGTTTATTTATAAAGTAAAATAAAAAGTTGATTTGTTTGATGTACCTGTAGGCTGGACATGAGATGATACTAATCCAAAGGTGGTTGTTCTGTAGGTCTTTACTAGACTGGATACCAAACTGATAGAGCGAGTTTTGTACAAGGTCCTCCGGGGTCAATGCATGAATTTCTACCTTGACCCGTCCAACCCCTCGGTCGACAGCCAGCCAGTCATTGTACAAGAAATGCCATATCTTATCTGTTTGGACATCTCTAACCACAATCTGTTTCAGAAACCTAAAAAATTTGGTAAAATCAAATAGATTATATTTTGAGCAGAGTTGTTATTGCAGTTCATTCCATGTATTGCCACACTATAATGACATGTGTTGACCTTCTATTACCATATTAATAACAGAAGGGTTAACATTCATATTGAGATCATAGGTAGATACATAGTAGAAAAGAGTTATAATCATAGTTACAGGTGAAACAGTTCCGATGTCCCTACAGATGTGTAAACTGCACTCTGAAACAGTGGACATGGACACCTACCTGAAAATGTATGGAATAGCCCGATATAAATATTCCAAGAAAAAGTTCAATGTGACAGGTTATTTAGTTCAAGTGACTATACACATATCTGTTTTAATAAAATTCATCAGTTTCGAACATATTAAATTGTAATTCTATTTATTCAAAAAGGTAGAATTCTATTAATTCAAAAGGTAGAATAGGTCCTAAACCTACATTTCAGTATGAATGGATACCATTGGTAAGTTACATGTAAGTTAGCCTGAGAAAATCTAGTGGTACATTAACTCACTCCCCCCTGAAGACACATTTAAACTCTTCTAATTCAAAGGTTGGAATAGCTCATTATAAAACTTGAGGGGTGAATGAGTTAAGGTAATACTAACAGAAAGCCTCGTGTGGAAGTCACCTTCAGTGGCTCTACCTATCACTGCTGGGTAGTTGGCCAATACAATGTTGCCTAGATGGCCACAATAACCCCTCACCCCGTCGCCTATTGTCTCTTGCTTAGTGATTTGTTTGGTTTTCTCTACAACCTCGCCATTTTCACCATGGATGGTACTCAAAGTTTACTGAGTCTTTCTCTGTTGATGTGGATGCATTGATATCACTTCTTCTGATACAAAGTCTTATACGTTCTTAAAATTTCTTTCCTATTTTCTGGTGAAATTAACATCATACTTGTTTAAACCAGAATCGTAAACCAAAGGCGACATAATAACCTCATGTCCTTAAAAATATGGCCAATAAAGAATGGACTTTACATATCAAGATGATCAGGTGTACTGGTTCTATTCCAATTTGTCAAAGAGTTGGAGACGGGCAGTCTGTGCCAAGTGAGCTTACAAGTCCTACCACAAAGTCCTAGCTACCATTTGTTGACCATAAGAGAGGTATGATTTGATTAATCAGTGGAATAGAACTACCCACCATGCAGGATTTTCACCAGAGTTGTCGTGCCATACCACGATACTCTGTAATTCTCCAAGGCTGAGTGGTGTGGTCAGCACAAACCAATCCTCGGCCCCAGTTTGAAAGTGCTGGACAATACCATCAGACAACAGGTGTTTAGAGCTGAAACCTTTGCTGCCATGGAGACACATAAAAACATTGGAGGTTGTTCCTGCCCTTCTCCACCAGCCTGTCACAAATCCAACCACATACACATATTTGTCTTCAGCACAGTTGTCCTCCAGCACATTGACACCTCCCTAAATAAAATCATTACAAGTTGTGTAGCCTCTAGCAATTTATTTTACCATCATAATTATAATCTTAACAATTTGAGAAGCTTTAAACACATCCCCCAAATAAGTATAATCACAACTTGTGCGGCTTCACACACCTCCCTCAACAACAAAAATGATGATTTGTCTCAATACACCTATTTCTCCTTTAACATAATAAGTTTTATAGCTTTCAAAATACATATGAGACATCATTTTGAAAGCTTCAAGCATTCAAGCAGTTGTTGGAATGTCACTGGTTTTAAATACATTGTAAAGTGGCAGTGTTCATTGATATATTTATATGTAATAAGTATAACCTAATTATTCACAGATTTAAAGATCTGCTAATCCAAGGAAAATCAACATGGAAATATTCATAAAAGATCTCCTATAACATTCTTCTTGTTATAAGTCCAATGAATAAGAATAAACTTTCCAGGTCATGAAAAGCCCAATTGCCGTTTAATATTCTGTCTTCTATTTAATGAGCTTGAACATAAGTAAATGCCTCAAAATACTGCTTTTCTATCATTGAGTGGGGTTTTGCAACATGATCTATGTTTTATCAAATACTCCTCTTCTGGCCCTGACTAATTCTTGTTATGTTTTGGACAAACACACAAAGATGGCCAAATGTCATGAGAGGCTGAGATCTGTTCACTGTCCTGTCCCTCAACCTACCAATGATAACCAAATATGATATAGATATCATGCTCTCTAGGTCTGCACTGGTGCTGATTTGGGTTATTTCATTGTCCTCTCATTTGCAGAGGCATATTGTTTTACTTAATCTCAATTCCATTAAGTCAGTTTAACTAATTAAAGTTGCCCATGTGTTTCTGTATTCTGAACTATGCCTGGAACAGATAAAATTTGAACTTTTGATCTATGCTCCGCAATCAAGGTATCTGGTGACTGGAGACACTTCACACCAGACAAAGGTTGAACTCTAGACCTTACCTATGCTCCACAATCAAGGTATCTGGTGACTAGTGACACTTCACACTTGACAAAGGTTGAACACTAGACCTTACCTATGCTCCACAATCAAGGTATCTGGGGACTGGAGACACTTCACACCAGACAAAGGTTGAACTCTAGACCTTACCTATGCTCCACAATCAAGGTATCTGGTGACTCGAGACACTTCACACAAGACAAAGGTTGAACTCTAGACCTTACCTATGCTCCACAATCAAGGGATCTGGTGACTAGTGACACTTCACACTTGACAAAGGTTGAACTCTAGACCTTACCTATGCTCCGCAATCAAGGTATCTGGTGACTGGAGACACTTCACACCAGGCAAAGGTTGAACTCTAGACCTTACCTATGCTCCGCAATCAAGGTATCTGGTGACTGGAGACACTTCACACAAGACAAAGGTTGAACTCTAGACCTTACCTATGCTCCACAATCAAGATATCTGGTGACTCGAGACACTTCACACCAGACAAAGGTTTTTAACTCTAGACCTTACCTATGCTCCACAATCAAGGTATCTGGTGACTGGAGACACTTCACACCAGGCAAAGGTTGAACTCTAGACCTTAACTATGCTCCACAATCATGGTTTGTAGTGACTGGAGACAATTCACACCAGACTAAGGTTGAACTCTAGACCTTACCTATGCTCCACAATCAAGGTATCTGGTGACTGGAGACACTTCACACCAGACTAAGGTTGAACTCTAGACCTTACCTATGCCTCACAATCAAGGTATCTGGTGACTGGAGACACTTCACACCAGACCAAGGTTGAACTCTAGACCTTACCTATGCTCCGCAATCAAGGTATCTGGTGACTGGAGACACTTCACACCAGACCAAGGTTGAACTCTAGACCTTACCTATGCTACACAATCAAGGTATCTGGTGACTAGTGACACTTCACACTAGACAAAGGTTGAAATCTAGACCTTACCTATACTCCACAATCAAGGTATCTGGTGACTGGAGACACTTCACACCAGACAAAGGTTGAAATCTAGACCTTACCTATGCTCCACAATCAAGGTATCTGGTGACTGGAGACACTTCACACCAGACAAAGGTTGAACTCTAGACCTTACCTATGCTCCACAATCAAGGTAACTGGTGACTTGAGACACGTCACACCAGACAAAGGTTGAACTCTAGACCTTACCTATGCTCCACAATCAAGGTAACTGGTGACTTGAGACACGTCACACCAGACAAAGGTTGAACTCTAGACCTTACCTATGCTCCACAATCAAGGTAACTGGTGACTTGAGACACGTCACACCAGACAAAGGTTGAACTCTAGACCTTACCTATGCTCCACAATCAAGGTAACTGGTGACTTGAGACACGTCACACCAGACAAAGGTTGAACTCTAGACCTTACCTATGCTCCACAATCAAGGTAACTGGTGACTTGAGACACGTCACACCAGACAAAGGTTGAACTCTAGACCTTACCTATGCTCAACAAACTTTGATATCTAAGTGATAACAGACACCAATGACTAACCTTCATGCTTTCGACCTTGTCTTTGCGTCGCGCCCATACCAGCATGATTAGGTAGAGACACCACACAATCAGTACTGTAATCACAATGACTGGATTGTCAAAGAAGGTCAAGAAGAGAGTTGCATCAGTAATAGGGTCAACCAGGTTAGGCACTGCAATAAAGCCTGCAGCGAAAGAGGTCAAGTGGTAGCAGGAGCAAGTCATTGTCTTCAGGTTTTTCGGACGGGAAATCTGTCAAGGAAAAAACAGCATTGCAGCATGATACACCAAACAAGTCAAACGAATTTTGTAGGAATTATGTTCAAAACATAATATAATGACTTTCTTACTGCAGGGAAATGTGCTAAAAACTGTGCTAGTAAAATATAAGAAATTAAGCAAGCACCTAATTGAAAATTTAATATGTATATTTACTGCACCATATGGCCATTTTGTCCTTTTCAGTGGCAAAAGAAAAAAGAATGAAATCCATTTGAGAAGTATTTAACAAGAGGTTCATTGGACCTGTATCGCTCACCTGGTTTTATATTTAAGTCATTATAACTGAATGCATTAGTACATCTTTATATGAAATTTCCTCAAATCCAGACAAGATCTATGTTCTAACACAACTGGGACCACAATATCTGACTTTCAACTAATCAGGGGCCTCCATTGAGCTGCCATGTTAACATAATTTGAAATAAGTAATATGTCATATTACAGGGTGTAATTAAACAATACTTTAATTTTCATTCAACTATAAGCTTTTATAAACCTAGAAACCAATTTTTACCAATTTGTGAAAACTACACCAAAGAATATGATAATCTAGCTGTACCATTTCTTAGGACCGCAGAGGTCAAATCAATCTCATTCAATTAAGAAATGTTTGCAGGCAATTAGGGGATATTAGCGTCTTCCTAGCCCCAGGGGTCGAACCAGTCTCATTTATTTAGGAAATGATTGCTCTCCCCCTATGAAGTTTCAGAGCAAATTTGGTTGAAATCCTCTCTGGTGTTTAGGAGTAGATGCGTTTTAAAGCAAATTTAGCTAAGTTCCCCTTCAGGGCCCCGCCCCCCTGGCCTCAGGGGTCGAACCAACCTCATTTATTTAAGAAATGATTGCCCTCCCCTAGTGATGCTTCAGACTTAATTTGGTTGAAATCCTATTTGGCGTTAAGGAGGAGATAGGTTTTAAAGAAAAAGTTGACGACGAACGCTGCGCCACGGCATAAGCTTACTTGCCCTTTGGGCAGGTAAGCTAAAAACATAATATACACCGTAAAAATTGAGTGTCCCTCTCAATACTATTAATCAACGATAATGTGCAATCTTACACCTTTATGAATGCTAGTGTGTTTGGAAGAGTAGATTATGGCTAAGGTATTTTCCATGCAAAGGTATAGAGTCTGTTGAAATGGAGATGTTTGAGTTTATTGCAACGTCTTTGTGACTTATTGTGTAAGAAGCAGTTATTAATCTAGTTCTGGTCTTGTGTGCCAGATAATTTTACTTTAAAAGTTCAAAGGTTGCCCTATGCAACCTGAGATATGTACCTGACACCCATCAGTTGCCCTATGATACCTGAGATACATACCCGATAGCCATCAGTTGCCCACTGATCCCTGAGATACAAATTAAACCTGATAACCATTAGTTGCCCACTGATCCCTGAGATACAAACCTGACAGCCATTAGTTGCCCACTGATCCCTGAGATATGTACCTGACAGCCATCAGTTGCCCACTGATCCCTGTGATATGTTCCTGACAGCCATCAGTTGCCCTATGATCACTGAGATATGTACCTGACAGCCATCAGTTGCCCACTGATCCCTGTGATATGTACCTGACAGCCATCAGTTTCCACTGATACCTGAGATACAAACCTGACAGCCGTCAGTTGCCCTTTGAAACCTGAGATACATACCTGACAGCCATCAGTTGCCCACTGATCCCTGAGATATGTACCTGACAGCCACCAGTTGCCCTATGATCCCTGAGATATGTACCTGACAGCCGTCAGTTGCCCACTGATCCCTGAGATATGTCCCTGACAGCCATCAGTTGCCCACTGATCCCTGAGATATGTACTTGACAGCCGTCAGTTGCCCACTGATCCCTGAGATATGTACCTGACAGCTATCAGTTGCCCTATGATCCCTGAGATATGTACCTGACAGCTGTCAGTTGCCCACTGATCCCTGAGATATGTCCCTGACAGCCATCAGTTGCCCACTGATCCCTGAGATATGTACTTGACAGCCGTCAGTTGCCCACTGATCCCTGAGATATGTACTTGACAGCCGTCAGTTGCCCACTGATCCCTGAGATATGTCCCTGACAGCCATCAGTTGCCCACTGATCCCTGAGATACGCACCTGACAGCCATCAGTTGCCCTATGATACCTGAGATACATACCTGACAGCCATCAGTTGCCCTATGATCCCTGAGATACGTATCTGACAGCCATCAGTTGCCCACTGATCCCTGTGATATGTCCCTGACAGCCATCAGTTTCCACTGATACCTGAGATCCAAACCTGACAGCCGTCAGTTGCCCTTTGAACCCTGAGATACATACCTGACAGCCATCAGTTGACCTACAATCCCCGAGATACAATCCTGACAGCCATCAGTTGCCCACTGATCCCTGAGATATTTACCTGACAGCCATTAGTTGCCCTATGATCCCTGAGATACGTATCTGACAGCCATCAGTTGCCCACTGATCCCTGTGATATGTCCCTGACAGCCATCAGTTTCCACTGATACCTGAGATCCAAACCTGACAGCCGTCAGTTGCCCTTTGAAACCTGAGATACATACCTGACAGCCGTCAGTTGCCCACTGATCCCCGAGATATGTACCTGACAGCCATCAGTTTCCACTGATACCTGAGATACAAACCTGACAGCCATCAGTTGCCCACTGATCCCTGAGATATGTACTTGACAGCCGTCAGTTGCCCACTGATCCTTGGCATTATCGTAGAAGCCACACGCAGTGTTGTAGATGCCAATTCTGACAGATACATTGGTGGTTATAAAAGGTACATCAGTTTCATTTGCTGCGATGGTCTGTCCTTCTTGAACTGCTATAATCAAATACTTGTGAGACCCCTCCATTATCAGCATGTCAGCACTGCCCTCTGTTACACAATCAAAAACAGTTAAGTATACTTAACAATGCCTCATTATACTGAGGATCAGCACATCCACAATGTGATCTGTTACACAACCAAGAAACCCATAAGCCCTGTACTAATCTCCTGATTAAAGATCAATAAATGGTTCAAATGCTTCTGCTTACATCAGCCGGCCATCTTAATGAGTAAGTTATCACATGGAATCAAATTAACTTTCGAGAAACATGTCATCTCACTAGAGCTTACCCTCATGTACGTACATACACACTTTGGGGGCGGGGGGCGGGCAGATTGTCTTTAGTGATTCATTGGTATAGGGATGCTGTGTTGAGGTGCTCTCTCTGGGGACAGAGCTTACCTGGTATAGGGATGCTGTGTTGAGGTGCTCTCTCTGGGGACAGAGCTTACCTGGTATAGGGATGCCATGTTGAGGTGCTCTCTCTGGGGCTAGAGCTTACCTTGTATAGGGATGCCATGTTGTGGTGCTCTCTCTGGGGACAGAGCTTACCTGGTATAGGGATGCCATGTTGTGGTGCTCTCTCTGGGGACAGAGCTTACCTGGTATAGGGATGCTGTGTTGTGGTGCTCTCTCTGGGGACAGAGCTTACCTGGTATAGGGATGCTGTGTTGTGGTGCTCTCTCTGGGGACAGAGCTTACCTGGTATAGGGATGCTGTGTTGTGGTGCTCTCTCTGGGGACAGAGCTTACCTGGTATAGGGATGCTGTGTTGTGGTGCTCTCTCTGGGGACAGAGCTTACCTGGTATAGGGATGCTGTGTTGTGGTGCTCTCTCTGGGGACAGAGCTTACCTGGTATAGGGATGCTGTGTTGTGGTGCTCTCTCTGGGGACAGAGCTTACCTGGTATAGGGATGCTGTGTTGTGGTGCTCTCTCTGGGGACAGAGCTTACCTGGTATAGGGATGCTGTGTTGTGGTGCTCTCTCTGGGGACAGAGCTTACCTGGTATAGGGATGCTGTGTTGTGGTGCTCTCTCTGGGGACAGAGCTTACCTGGTATAGGGATGCTGTGTTGTGGTGCTCTCTCTGGGGACAGAGCTTACCTGGTATAGGGATGCTGTGTTGTGGTGCTCTCTCTGGGGACAGAGCTTACCTGGTATAGGGATGCTGTGTTGTGGTGCTCTCTCTGGGGACAGAGCTTACCTGGTATAGGGATGCTGTGTTGTGGTGCTCTCTCTGGGGACAGAGCTTACCTGGTATAGGGATGCTGTGTTGTGGTGCTCTCTCTGGGGACAGAGCTTACCTGGTATAGGGATGCTGTGTTGTGGTGCTCTCTCTGGGGACAGAGCTTACCTGGTATAGGGATGCTGTGTTGTGGTGCTCTCTCTGGGGACAGAGCTTACCTGGTATAGGGATGCTGTGTTGTGGTGCTCTCTCTGGGGACAGAGCTTACCTGGTATAGGGATGCTGTGTTGTGGTGCTCTCTCTGGGGACAGAGCTTACCTGGTATAGGGATGCTGTGTTGTGGTGCTCTCTCTGGGGACAGAGCTTACCTGGTATAGGGATGCTGTGTTGTGGTGCTCTCTCTGGGGACAGAGCTTACCTGGTATAGGGATGCTGTGTTGTGGTGCTCTCTCTGGGGACAGAGCTTACCTGGTATAGGGATGCTGTGTTGTGGTGCTCTCTCTGGGGACAGAGCTTACCTGGTATAGGGATGCTGTGTTGTGGTGCTCTCTCTGGGGACAGAGCTTACCTGGTATAGGGATGCTGTGTTGTGGTGCTCTCTCTGGGGACAGAGCTTACCTGGTATAGGGATGCTGTGTTGTGGTGCTCTCTCTGGGGACAGAGCTTACCTGGTATAGGGATGCTGTGTTGTGGTGCTCTCTCTGGGGACAGAGCTTACCTGGTATAGGGATGCTGTGTTGTGGTGCTCTCTCTGGGGACAGAGCTTACCTGGTATAGGGATGCTGTGTTGTGGTGCTCTCTCTGGGGACAGAGCTTACCTGGTATAGGGATGCTGTGTTGTGGTGCTCTCTCTGGGGACAGAGCTTACCTGGTATAGGGATGCTGTGTTGTGGTGCTCTCTCTGGGGACAGAGCTTACCTGGTATAGGGATGCTGTGTTGTGGTGCTCTCTCTGGGGACAGAGCTTACCTGGTATAGGGATGCTGTGTTGTGGTGCTCTCTCTGGGGACAGAGCTTACCTGGTATAGGGATGCTGTGTTGTGGTGCTCTCTCTGGGGACAGAGCTTACCTGGTATAGGGATGCTGTGTTGTGGTGCTCTCTCTGGGGACAGAGCTTACCTGGTATAGGGATGCTGTGTTGTGGTGCTCTCTCTGGGGACAGAGCTTACCTGGTATAGGGATGCTGTGTTGTGGTGCTCTCTCTGGGGACAGAGCTTACCTGGTATAGGGATGCTGTGTTGTGGTGCTCTCTCTGGGGACAGAGCTTACCTGGTATAGGGATGCTGTGTTGTGGTGCTCTCTCTGGGGACAGAGCTTACCTGGTATAGGGATGCTGTGTTGTGGTGCTCTCTCTGGGGACAGAGCTTACCTGGTATAGGGATGCTGTGTTGTGGTGCTCTCTCTGGGGACAGAGCTTACCTGGTATAGGGATGCTGTGTTGTGGTGCTCTCTCTGGGGACAGAGCTTACCTGGTATAGGGATGCTGTGTTGTGGTGCTCTCTCTGGGGACAGAGCTTACCTGGTATAGGGATGCTGTGTTGTGGTGCTCTCTCTGGGGACAGAGCTTACCTGGTATAGGGATGCTGTGTTGTGGTGCTCTCTCTGGGGACAGAGCTTACCTGGTATAGGGATGCTGTGTTGTGGTGCTCTCTCTGGGGACAGCGCTTACCTGGTATAGGGATGCTGTGTTGAGGTGCTCTCTCTGGGGACAGCGCTTACTTGGTATAGGGATGCTGTGTTGAGGTGCTCTCTCTGGGGACAGAGCTTACCTGGTATAGGGATGCCATGTTGCTGTACTGTTCTTGAAGACACTGTTTCATTGGTGGTACGGTACAACATCAATGTTAGGTCTGACTCCAAGATCTTGGTATACACCTGCAAAGTCATGGCAGGGTCAAGGTCAGTCATGGTGACCTTCAGCAGACTGCTAGCGATGACTTGACTTCTTGCTGTTTCATATGTAAATTCCAGTGTATTGGATTCAAGATTCTGGTCTAATAAATAAAAAGAACAAGCTACAGTGGCAATAATGTGCTTTTGAAAAAAGTGGCTTCTGTTGTGAATCTTTGTAGAGTGAAAATTCAAACTTGAACTAGAATGAATTTCCTATCAGCATTTCCTAATCAAATTCACTCTTCAAAGCCATATTTAATCACATTGATAAGACAACTAGAACTGTAAGCCAAAGGCTAACTAATACCAACCGCTCCTATATAAACCTTACTAAGGCAAAGCATTGCAAAGCAATCCATAGTCTTCCACCAGTAACAATTTCTTTATTGACTGAGCTGTACACTTATTTAAGTATACTGGTCACTGATATACTTCCTGTACCAAATATATACTGGTCACTGATATATTTCCCCATGCCAAAACATACTTACATACCAAATGTTCATTGTTAGCCCAGATGAACCAGTTTTGCTAAAATTGTCTTATTAGTTAAGGAAAATATGTCAGGACAAAGATATTTAACAAAGGGTCATAACTCCTTAAAAGGGTTGAAATGAAAACAATACTAGCCTGATGCACGACATCAGGGGGTAATTACAATATCTGTAAACTTTCATTGAGTTCCGCCGAGTAGTTTGTGAGGCAGTCAAAGGTTTATTCAACAAAGGGCCATAACTCTTTTTTAAAGGGTAGGATGAAAAAGTACTACTTGGATGCACAACGTCAGGGACCAGTTACCGTATCTGTGATATTTTTTTAAAATTGGCCCAGAAGATAAGGAAAAGTTGTCAGGACAAGAATTTTTCAACAAAGGGCCATAACTCCATAGAAAAGGGTTGAAAAAAAATACCTGGATGCACAAGGAGTAGTTATCATATCCAAAAAAGTTTCGTTGAAGTTGGCTGCATAGTCTTGGATGAGTTGTCAGGATAAGTATTTTTCAACAAAGGGCCATCACTCCAAAAAAAGGGATAGATTGAAAAAATCAAACCTGGATGCACAACATCATGTGATAGTTATCATATGTGAAAACTTTCATGGAAATTGGCCCAGAAGTTTTGGAGAAGTTGTGCAGGAAAGCATTTTTCAACAAAGGGCAATAACTCCATAAGAATGAAAAAATAATACCTGTATGCACAACTTCAAGTAGTAGTTATCATATCTGAAACGTTTCGATCCGTAACTTTAGAAAGAGTTGTCCAAACAATTTTTTTAGGATTTTTTCAACAAAGGGCCATAACTTCGTAAAAAAAGGTCAGAATGAAAAAGAATATTTTTTTGGAAGATAATAGCATCACTGTTTAATAATAAATGATATTCCATCTGCTTAAATGCTGAAGATTTGTGTTGCACAACCATTGCCTGTACACACTGTGCCATACACTCCATCACTGTGTCATACACTCCATCAATGTGTCATACACTCCATCACTGTGTCATACGCTCCATCAATGTGTCATACCCTCCATCACTGTGTCATACACTCCGTCACTGTGTCATACACTCAATCACTGTGTCATACACTCCATCATTGTGTCATACACTCCATCACTGTGTCATGTGTCATACACTCAATCACTGTGTATGAATGTGCCATACACTCAATCACTGGGTCATACACTCAATCACTGTGTATGAATGTGCCATACACTCAATCACTGTTTCATACACTCAATCACTGTGTATGAATGTGCCATACACTCAATCACTGTTTCATACACTCAATCACTGTGTATGAATGTGTCATACACTCCATCACTGTGTATGAATGTGTCATACACTCGATCACTGTGTAATCCACTCAATCTCTGTGTCATACACTCCCATACACTCCATCAATGTGTCATACAATCCATCACTGTGTCATACACTCCATCAATGTGTCATACAATCCATCACTGTGTCATACACTCCATCAATGTGTATACACTCCATCAATGTGTCATACACTCCATCACTGTGTCATACACTCCATCACTGTGTATACACTCCATCACTGTGTCATACACTCCATCACTATGTCATACACTCCATCACTGTGTCATACACTCCATCAATGTGTATACACTCCATCAATGTGTCATACACTCCATCACTATGTCATACACTCAATCACTGTGTATACACCCCATCAATGTGTCATACACTACATCACTATGTCATACACTCCATCACTGTGTCATACACTAAATAAATGTGTATATACTCCATCAATTTGTATACATACCATCACTATGTCATACACTCCATCAATGTGTATATACTCCATCACTATGTCATACACTCCATCAATGTGTCATACACTCCATCAATGTGTATGAATGTGTCATACACTACATCACTGTGTCATACACTCCATCACTGTGTCATACACTCCATTACTGTGTCATACACTCCATCACTGTGTCATACAATCCATCACTGTGTCATACACTCCATCACTGTGTCATACACTCCATCACTGTGTCATACACTCCATCACTGTGTCATACACTCCATCACTGTGTCATACACTCCATCACTGTGTCATACACTCCATCACTGTGTCATACACTCCATCACTGTGTCATACACTCCATCACTGTGTCATACACTCCATCACTGTGTCATACACTCCATCACTGTGTCATACACTCCATCACTGTGTCATACACTCCATCACTGTGTCATACACTCCATCACTGTGTCATACACTCCATCACTGTGTCATACACTCCATCACTGTGTCATACACTCCATCATTGTGTATATACTCCATCACTGTGTCATACACTCAATCATTGTGTATACACCCCATCACTGTGTCATACACTCCATCACTGTGTCATACACTCCATCACTGTGTCATACACTCCATCACTGTGTCATACACTCCATCACTGTGTCATACACTCCATCACTGTGTCATACACTCCATCACTGTGTCATACACTCCATCACTGTGTCATACACTCCATCACTGTGTCATACACTCCATCACTGTGTCATACACTCCATCACTGTGTCATACACTCCATCACTGTGTCATACACTCCATCACTGTGTCATACACTCCATCACTGTGTCATACACTCCATCACTGTGTCATACACTCCATCACTGTGTCATACACTCCATCACTGTGTCATACACTCCATCACTGTGTCATACACTCCATCACTGTGTCATACACTCCATCACTGTGTCATACACTCCATCACTGTGTCATACACTCCATCACTGTGTCATACACTCCATCACTGTGTCATACACTCCATCACTGTGTCATACACTCCATCACTGTGTCATACACTCCATCACTGTGTCATACACTCCATCACTGTGTCATACACTCCATCACTGTGTCATACACTCCATCACTGTGTCATACACTCCATCACTGTGTCATACACTCCATCACTGTGTCATACACTCCATCACTGTGTCATACACTCCATCACTGTGTCATACACTCCATCACTGTGTCATACACTCCATCACTGTGTCATACACTCCATCACTGTGTCATACACTCCATCACTGTGTCATACACTCCATCACTGTGTCATACACTCCATCACTGTGTCATACACTCCATCACTGTGTCATACACTCCATCACTGTGTCATACACTCCATCACTGTGTCATACACTCCATCACTGTGTCATACACTCCATCACTGTGTCATACACTCCATCACTGTGTCATACACTCCATCACTGTGTCATACACTCCATCACTGTGTCATACACTCCATCACTGTGTCATACACTCCATCACTGTGTCATACACTCCATCACTGTGTCATACACTCCATCACTGTGTCATACACTCCATCACTGTGTCATACACTCCATCACTGTGTCATACACTCCATCACTGTGTCATACACTCCATCACTGTGTCATACACTCCATCACTGTGTCATACACTCCATCACTGTGTCATACACTCCATCACTGTGTCATACACTCCATCACTGTGTCATACACTCCATCACTGTGTCATACACTCCATCACTGTGTCATACACTCCATCACTGTGTCATACACTCCATCACTGTGTCATACACTCCATCACTGTGTCATACACTCCATCACTGTGTCATACACTCCATCACTGTGTCATACACTCCATCACTGTGTCATACACTCCATCACTGTGTCATACACTCCATCACTGTGTCATACACTCCATCAATGTGTCATACACTCCATCACTGTGTCATACACTCCATCACTGTGTCATACACTCCATCACTGTGTATACACCCCATCACTGTGTCATACACTCCATCACTGTGTATATACTCCATCACTGTGTCATACACTCCATCAATGTGTATATACTCCATCCCTATGTCATACACTCCATCACTGTGTCATACACTCCATTACGGTGTCATACAATCCATCACTGTGTCATACACTCAATCACTGTGTCATACACTCCATCAATGTGTATATACTCCATCCCTATGTCATACACTGTGTCATACACTCCATCACTGTGTATATACTCCATCACTGTGTCATACCCTCCATCACTGTGTAAACACTCCATCACTGTGTCATACACTCCATGAATGTGTATACACTCCATCAATGTGTCATACACTCCATATACACTCCATCAATGTGTATATACTCCATCCCTATGTCATGCACTCCATCACTGTGTCATACACTCCATAAATGTGTCATACACTCCATCACTATGTCATACACTCCCTCAATGTGTCATACACTCCATCACTGTGCATACACTTCAGTACCTCTCTATACATTAGAGCTGGGCTATACTGAACCCGGGGTTAAGTCTCCAAGCCATCACTGTGTCATACACTCCATCACTATGTCATACACTACATCAATGTGTCATACACTCCATCACTGTGCATACACTTCAGTACCTATCTATAAATTAGAGCTGGGCTATACTGACCCCGGGGTTAAGTCTCCAAGGGTGGGGCAGCCCCTGGGGTCAATTCTTGTATCATGACTGCATTCATCTCTTTAAATTATGCCCAGCATTTGTATATACAGTTTTGGGGTGGGGATC